ATTCCTGCTTCCTCACTGTTGAGAAGTTGAAGCAGAGCAACCTATAAACTCCAACTGTGATAAATTTATTCTCATGCAAAGGCAGGATTATCAGCAAGACCCCTTCAAAGGCTACAGGTTCAAGTCTTTGTCCCTCCTTCCCTCACAGTCCTCTAACCAAATCTCTACTTACAGTTCAACCCTAACCAGCCTACTCTTCAGAAGACAGAAGTCTGAATAAAATTACAATAGACCTTAACTTAAAAACAATTAGTTAAAAAGGTGCTTAATAAAAGCTATTTGTGACAAAACTAGAGTCAACATAATACTCAATGGTGAAAAGTTGAAAGCCTTTCTGCTGATTCCTGGAATAAGACAAGAATAGCCACTCTCACCACTTCTATTCAACATAGTACTGGAAGTCCTAGCCACAACAATCAGACAAGAAAAAGAAACAAAAGGTAACCAAACTGGAAGAGAAGAGATAAAACTGTCATTTTATGCAAATGACATGATACTATATGTAGAAAACCCTAAAGACTCCACACAAAAACCACTAGAAATGATCAATTCAGCAAGGTAGCAGGATACAAAATTAACATTCAGGAATTGACTGTATTTCTTTATACTAATAATGAAATATCAAAAAGGGAAAATAAAAAAAAAATCCCTTTTAAAATCACATCAAAAATAATAAAATACTTAGAACAAAACTGACCAAGGAAGTGAAAGACTTATACACTGAGAACTATAAAACACTGATAAAGAAAGCTAAAGATAATCGAAAGATACACCATGCTCTTGGATTGGAAGAATTAATATCATTAAAACGGCCATACTACCCAAAGCAATCTACAGATTTAATGCGATTACCATCAAATTACCCGTGACATTCTTCACAGAACTAAAACAAATAATTCTAAAATTTATATGGAACCATGAAAGACCCGGAACTGCCAAAGCAATCCTGAGGAAAAGGAAGAAAGCTGGAGGCATAACCCTCCCGGGCTTCAAAACTACAGTAATCACAAAACTACAGTAATCAAACCACAAAACTACAGTAATCAAACAGTGTGGGACTGCCACAAAAACAGACATATGGATCAGTGGAACAGAACGGAGAGCCCAGAATTAAACCCACACACCTACAGTCATTTAATCTTTGACAAAGGAAGCAAGAATATACAACAGAAAAAAGACAGTCTCTTTGGCAAATGGCGTTGGTTAAGCTGGACAGCCGCATGTAAACCAATAAGTGAGAGCACTCCCTCACACAATACACAAAAATGAACTCAAAATGTCTTAAATACTTAAGATAGGATACCACAAAACTCCTACAAGAGAACACACACAAAACATTCTCTAACATAAACTGTAGCAATGTTTTCTTAGGTCAGTCTCCCAAAGCAATAGAAATAAAAACAAAAATCAACAAATGGGACCTAATCAAACTTATGAGCTTTTGCACAGCAAAGGAAACCATAAACAAAACGAAAAGACAAACTATGGGCAGGGAGAAAATATTTGCAAACGATGCAACCAACAAGGGCTTAATTTCCAAAATATACAATTGGCTCATATAACTCAGTAACAAAAAACCCAAACAACCCAATCAAAAAAACAGGCAGAAGACCTAAATAGACATTTCTCCTAAGAAGATATACAGATGACCAATAGGCACATGAAAAGATGCTCAACGTTGCTAATTATCAGAGAAATGCAAATCAAAACTACAATAAGGTATCACCTCACTCTGGTCAGAATGGCCATCCCATTAAAAAGTCTACAAATAATAAATGCTGGAGGGGTGTGGAGAAAAGGGAACCCTCTTACATTGTTGGCAGGAATGTAAATTGGTACAGCCACTATGGAAAACAGTATGGAGGTGCCTTAAAAAACTAAAAATAGAGTTACCATATGATCCAACAATCCCACTCCTGGACATATATCCAGAGAAAATTCTAATTCAAAAAGATACATGCCCCCCAGTGTTCATAGCAGCACTATTTACAACAGCCAAGACATGGAAGCAACCTAAATGTCCACTGTCAAATAAATAGATAAAGAAGATGTGGTATATAATTACAATGAAATACTACTCAGTCATTAAAAAAGTATAAAATAATGCCATTTGCAGCAACATGCTTCCCCTACCAGTGTGACAGCGCTTCTTATAATTTAGCAGGGTCTCCAGGCTGAAAGATGTCATGTGTGAGAATTTTAAGAAATGCGCATCCACATCCTGACAGCCAGAAATGAATATCCACAAGCACCCTTTCAAAGCTTTTATCCAAACTACCTCTACCAACTCTACATCTTAAAGTAACTTCATGCCCTTGTATATAATACAAAACCAAGCAAAACAAAGCCCCAGAAGCGCCCTTTCCCATTCTAAATTAGTGACCTCGTGGATTTTGTTTTATTTCCAGTTTGTGTAAAATGTGGTAGTGATCCTTCTGGTAAACAGGAGGTTGGCAACAAACAGAAACACCTCTCCTCACACTCTACTAGATCATACTCAGGTCAGATAAACGTGCCAGCCTGTTGGTATCTGTGTACTATGAGAATCTGGTACCTTGGAGGGCTCTGATTTGGTACAAGGGAGACGCCCTGTTGCCAGGATAAGCACTTGCCACGTGAAATTCAGGCTCACAAAAACTCTCCCTTGCTATCTCTGACCCCAATTTTAGCACCAGTTTTTTTCACTTTCTAGGTTTCAAACACAAAGGAACCAGTGTCCAAAGGCAAGTGATATAGGCCTTAAACTTGCTGCCATCCTTAATTTCCTCATTCATAAACTTTCCTTAGAAAACCCAAATCCCCATTCCTCTTTTTAAATAGATTGCTGCCTTCAGCCCCGATGGCCAATAGCAGACATCTATTTCCCAATGGATGAGAGAGACTCCTTCACCTTCCTGGTCATGGTTGGGATGAGGTTCATGTGGCCATCCACACACGTGGTCATGCAACTCTCCAGCTGCCGCTTCACCTGAACCTATTTACTCCCCACATCTATTGAATCTTTGGCTTTGTCATTGCAATACATAGTGCACCGGGCCAGGCGCTCCTGGAACTTCTCCAACTCGCTGGTCACCAGGGCCTGGGCTTGAGCCAGAGGTGCATGGCAGTGCTCAATGCACTGGTGCGCTTGCTGCATGGATGCCTGGCTGTCCTCACAGCAGGCAGCGCTGCACCGTAACATGAGGCCCTGCATCTTCCGGATGTTCTCTCTCCAGACTTATCACCATAGAGTCCACCGCCTCCTGCACCCAGAGCTGCTGCAGCTCCGCCACGGCAACCCCACACTGCTCCCTGCCACGCAGGCGCCCAAATGGACTCCCACACACAAGCCCGCCACCCCTGAATTAAGATTTTACCTAATTATGGGACTTCCCTGGTGGTGCAGTGATTAAGACTCTGTGCTCCCAATGTAGGGGGCCCAGGTTCGATCCCTGGTCCAGGTACTAGACCCCACATGCATGCCACAACTAAGAGTTCGCATGCCACAGCTAAGGAGCTGGCAAGCCACAACTAAGGAGCCCTCGAGCTGCAACTAAGGAGCCCGCCTGCCGCAACTAAGACCTCATGCAACCGAATAACTTTTACCTAATTGTAAACCACCTCAGATATAACTCTGTAATCACTCACTACTAAAGTAAAACCAGCTCCAATGAAAAGAAGCACAATCGTTTAGCTATCACAAACTGAATATTTATGCTACAGATGGAATGTCTGTGTCCCCCCTATAATTCATATTTTGAAACCTAATCCCCAATGTGATGGTATTTGGAGGTGAGGACTTCGGGAGGTGCTTAGTTCACAAGGATGGAACCCTCATGAATGGGATTAGTGCCCTTATATAAGAGGTACTAGAGAGATCCACTATGTGTGGACAAAAAGAAGATGGCTATGAACCATGAA